CTACAATCTACTCCCTGAGTATCATGACTGCTGCTATAGTTGTTCTTGTAGTAGTTGTTCCTGAATTGCTAGACATAGTGAAATGTCTTTGCTTGTATTATCTTTGTCCTAACATTAGGTAGTTCTTCTGTTATGGTAATACCTATGGATAGGTGTTGGGTTATATCTTCCTAGATAGTTTCCTGTCAGTATATCAAGGGTTCTCACCTAGTAATATAGCATCCTGCAATATTATTCAGTGATAGGAGCAATATAAAATGATAGACTTGATTTAGGTCTGGTAGATAAAGTAAACAAATAAGATTGTTGTTGTACTGCTATTTGAATACTGATAACTAACTATTGTTAAGCAGTAATGCTAGACAATAGACTTCAAGAACTATATAGAACAATTCTAGCTACATAGGAAAACCATCCTCCTTATATAATAGTTTATTCTGGTAGTCCTGTTTGTTGATTAGTGCTGATCAGCCATGATTAGTACTAATCACCCCTAATCACTACTAATTACTTTATTCTGCCACTAATCTCTACCTTTTTATTTTATCATTACATGACCCCTCATCTCATGATATCAAAAGTGTACTATACCTCCACACTTTATATAATGATCCTGCACCATCTATTACTGACCCTTGTAACCATTGTTACAGGTATATAGGATTAAAGGTGTTAGTATTATAGCACATGCTGTCTCAAAAAGTGACTAAAAGTTTAGATAGAACAATGAGCTTTGAATGTAGAACCATCCTGCTGGGAAAGGAAATGACTAAAAGGCATAGTTGTAAGCTAGCCTACCTTGCTTGATAAATAATGCTAAAAAGAGTAGCTCCTGTAACAGCCTTCCTACTCCTTACCATTCAGAATGGAGTACATTGTAAAGTCACTCCATGATGAGATCCAAGGCCAGAGCAAGCTTTGCTACTACAGGTAGATCAGAACACAGGCCAAGGTTTTGAAGATAATGCTATTTTGCTATCCTTTCCATTGACACAGCCAATTCTCACTGCTTAGTAATAGTGTAGTAATAGCATCCATTATTTACTGTATCAAAACTCATATCTTGACAATCTTTGTTAGTACACAGGTAGCTTCTACATTCTTGCCTGGCTGTCTAACACAGGAAACCTCTGTTGTCTGTCTGCTGGAGCATGTCACTAATAAACATCAATGTAAATACAGACATAAATTTTTCTTTGCTAGCAATGTTCATGACCATCCCACAGTCAAGCCCTGTAACAGCCTTTACAAAGGCTGCTATAGAGGTCTCTACAGACATGTCATGTAGACCTAAATATAGGGTATATATGTTAGCAATGTTGTAATGTTTGAGGTATGGTAGATTTGCTAGAATCTAATAAAATGCTTTGAAAGCATGATACATGTTGTGGTAAATGCTGAAATTGTCAATGAAGGTTAACAGTAGTAGATTTAGCTATGGAAATTGTTACAATTGATGAAGCCAGCTTTGGCTAAAGGTCTCTAGTTCCAGCTCTGCTATCATTAGGTGCATTCTAAACAGTAGTTGAATCTCATCTCTCCTTCTGCTATATACTTGATGTACATAGTCTTCATCACTGTCATTTTTAGCTTTAGCTACCTTAGAGTTGTAAGCCTGGTCCAGAAATACAGGCAGTATACCATGTATAGAATGTAGTAGGACCTCAAGAATACAATCTTTAAGGATTAGAAGTTCATGTCTATCAATTTCAGCTGGATTGCAAATATGGCTAAGATAAAAGCCTAACTGTTGGAGGTATGGCTAAATGACAGCTTGCAACTATATAACAATACTCTTGAGAGATTCTATAGTACTTTAAAAATCCTAGTTAAAGAAAATAATACATCTCTTGGTATATCTATTTACTAGATCTATCTATACAATACTACCTGGAACAATGATCTCACCCCTATTATCATAAGCATAGTTTCCAGAACATGCCCTTAGGGAGAAGCCCTAGCAAGGTACATTCTACAGCTCCATTAGAGAATCTAATAGCTCAGCCATGCCAAAATGCATCTTACACACTATGGATGTAGAGAAGAATATGAAACATACTAAATCCACTGGATTGTACTAGTAGATTCACAAGTAATGTTTGATTTGACATGGCTGTTTTGAATTTGATGGCAAGGATGTCTCCTTCTCTACAGTGACTAGTACCATCTTTCTTCTTAGGCAAAGCAATGGCAAGTAATGTTAAAGTTGTAGTTTTAGAGTATCTAGTTGTTTAGGCAATTGAGTGTATTCATCTATAAGAGAACTTAGCAAACCAAGGACTTCTTAAAGTCTTACATACTGCTCTTTGGAGCAGTTATAATGTTTTGTTCAAAGAGCTAAAGCTATCTGGAACTGTGGTAGTTTACCATCCTGGCCTGGTGTATGATTGCCTAGATGTACAACTTTACTAGTATCCTTGTTAATATCTTTTTACATCTTCTCATCACTATCCTTGCCTTCTTCCAGATTGTATATATAGTTAGCAAATGGTACATTTTGCTTAGTTTCAGTCATGAGACCTGAAGAATCAACAAAGTCAGCTTTATGCAGGGAATGCTTTGAATCATCTTTGTGCTATATAGCATTGCTGGTTTTTGAATCCTTAACTACCTTCTTACTACTAAGTGTCATGTACTAATGTAGAACAGAATGGTGAAACTAGGACTGTTGTACCCTAGGGACAGACTAGACTACAAGTCAATCTCAATCTATGTTTTGAGAAGCCATGTTTGAGGTGTTTTAGGGAATGAAAATAAGGAAATAAACTATTTGTTATTAATGCCCTTTGACTTTTCTCCTGGAGGGTATATATATTATGTATTACATGGGTGCTACTTCTACTTTTACCTAACTCAATTAATGTCTTGAACAATGAGCTCAGAATCATGATAACTAATGAATTTACTATCAATCTAACTAAGAACTTGTTAAATACATTTGCTAAAGCTAAATTCTTTAAATTGTATAGGTTGTAAGATTATCCATTCCTTTTCATCCAACCTTGACCACAAAATAAAACAAAGAAAAAGAAAACAGTCCTAGATTAACTTTTTTGCAAATACACTCACCCTTCTAGCATAGAGTACCCTCTGTAATAGGCTTTGCTTAAGATCAAGAGCAAAGCCTGTTACAGAGTAAACATCTAGACAGGTCATTTAAAAATACTATCTTCATTAAGATTTTCATGAAAACCATCCTCTTCATCTTCCCTTTCTTCCTCATCTTCCTCTTCTTCTGCTTGCTTACTCTCTTCATAGTTTGAGAAGATTTCCTGGTCTGATCTCTCCTTGTAATTTAATCTAGTACTGTAGTTAGTAGTAATAATGTACTAAATAAGCTCCTCTGTAGTTAGTGGCCTGTGAACATTTGCTGGAGCATCAACACCACCATTCCATCTCTGCAGTTTACCATTCCTCCTAATGAACCACTTACCAACATTAATTTTGGCATCCTTGTCTAGATTCTCAACTAGTTTAAGCTGGTTGCTATGAAAGTACTCTAAGTTCAGCTTGGCCATGACTGATGGAATTGCTTTGATTAGATTCTTTGTCATGACTTCATTATTGAAGGTATCTTTGATGTAGAGTTTAGTAACTTTGATTGTAAACTCTTGTCTGATGTGTCAAACATGGTCAATTGCTTGTACACTAAGATAGTAAGATGGTAGTAGATCAAACAAGACTGTAGTGTAACAGAAATGATGTAGGTTGAGTCTACAGCTGTTCATGGTGTATGAGCATATCAGGATTTTGGCTCTCTCATGATTGGTTATAAATTCATTGATTAGTTTGCTCTGCTTAATATAATTTAGGTAAGACCTGAAGATTTAGGCATCCACCTTAAGTAATTGTAGCACCCTAAAGATCAAGAGTTGCTAGGCTAGGTATGCAACCTAAATGATCATTTTGTGCTGCTCCTAGATTGTAATTTTACTAACTAATTTTAGCAGGCACTTTATCTTTAGTGACTCTCTGTAGATCTGTACTAGGATTTTCATTCAATCTAACTCCTTCAGGACTTTATACTTAGTATTTTTCTGCTTTACTACCTTCATCCACTGCTACAAGAAATTGGGTTTCTCTAACTACTTGAGCACTGATTTAGTCTTGACTAAGCCACAGATGTGAAAGAACTCAATCCAAGTTGTGGTTAGCATAAGCCTTTGCAAGATCTCTATGTTGATTTTAATTTTTTATTCTCTGCTACCCTCTGCTTGTTTTGTGCTGGCTCCTGCCTTATCTTTATCCTTCTTGTATAATTTTCTGATGAGCCATGTATAAAGGTCAATATACTAATGTTGCTCCTCATGGTCAAAGTTTGTCTCCATATAGTATGCAATGACAGGAGGGATAGAATCTAAGATCATGATCCTGTTCTTGAATGGAATCAAGGAAGCATAAGTATGTCTTAGTAAGTATTTCTTTTATATGCTTTGTAGACATAGGCTCTGCATGGCTAGCAAGGTTGATTTATTGAACAAAAAGTATGTGAGCACACTACATGTAAAGTAAACTTGTCCCTCTAGAGTGTCCTTGTCAAAGAGAAATGGATTATCAGATGTGTCTAGCTTGGTAAAGTCTTTCTATGATTTCTACAAACCTGGCTGTTTAATAAGGGACATAAAACTCTCAAAGTCTAAGATATGATTTGAGTATAGAGTTGTAGTGATCATTAAATTAAAGTTTGTTTTGAGCCATTTAATGGTGGTAGTACTGTACATTGCCTTGTTTTTAATCATGTGTGTCTTGTCAAGAATTATATAGTTGAAACATCCTTTAAGAGAACTGGACCATTTCAGGTTTATAGTATCTAACTTTGCATTGGTATTTTGTTTTGTTCATTTGTTCTTGATGTAGAAATTGGTGTTTAATGGTGGCCTATGCTAGTTGACAAGTGTCAGGTATGAAGTAATGACTACAGTGTTTGCATTCTTTTTATCTCTGTTAAAAAGGTCATGTTATTTTGTCAGCCTCTTGTTGATAGTAGTCACCTTTGGGTACTACTTCTTGTAGTAGTCTCCATAGTACATATAGACTAAAATGTTATCCATGACATATAGAATTTGTTTCATCCATTGCTTTACAAGATTAGAAGAAACAATGACAAGAAAAGGCTTTGCCATGGCCTTAGGAGGCATGCCCTCTTGTAACAAGCTTTGCCTTTCATTGATTTTCTAAAAGTCAAGTCAGCATATAAAGCTTGTTACAGGAAATGGAGAAAATTCATGAAACTTACATGCAAAAGCCAGTCAATCCTGATCCATGTTTTCCCTAGACTAATAACATCTGCCAAAACTATGCTATGATGGCTAGTATTCTAAAAATCTATGATGGCCTTGATTGCCACTGGCTGCCAGAACTTGAGTTTCAACCTTTCTGCCATCCTAGAAATTCATAGATATGTAGGGTCTTTGCAGCCAAGAAGTTTACAGGCTGCATCATGGTCCTTATGCTGGTATAATATATTGTTGAGGTATGCTTTGTGCTTGGTAAAGATGTACAATGCCTCATTATCTAGTTTGGAGTAGGTAATGAGTAGTTTGTTACTATTAAATTGCTTACTCTCCTTTTCTCACATGACTAATTCTACACTCATTGTAATATTGTTAACAAGTTGAAATAGGTCTCTTAAGTTCTTCTTGAAGGAAAAATCTTTAAGAATCTGCTTGATCACCTAGACCTTTCAATAGTCTTCCTCAAGGTTTAGCTTACTACTAATCTTTAATTTCTCTAGGCAACACTCTAGGAGCATGCTTCATGTAGAAGCTTCAAGATGAAATTAGCTACTAGGTAGAGGAGTAGAAGCAGTCAGAACCCTAAGTGCCTTTTCATGGTCTTCTTTATAGATTTAAGCCTCTATCTTTGACTTTGCTACTATAGTTATGTCTTCTCTAGTGCTTATCTCTTCCTTAGTCAAACCAGGCTCATAATCATCATCTAAGTCATTGCCAAGTCTCAAGAATCATTTAGAGACAGTCTTAGTCCTATCATCATCTAACTCATCTACATCCATCTTGTCTCCAGCACCTCCATCATTACCTTTACTTTTGCTACTGCCTTGAGCAATTATAGTGTTAATTACTGAGAATCCTGATTGGGTTAGTAACTTAAGTTTTAGCCTTTTTGCTACATTTAGGGAAGAGTCAGGTAATTGTCTATAGTGTTTTTGCTAGCAAGACTTTGTAGCACTAGTATGTTACATGTATAAATATGATAGCCACTGATACATCTACCAAAGCATCTCATCCATCTTCTCAGCAGTTAGGTTTTACCTGAAAAAAAGGCCTTCCTTCTGCTTTATGTTTGTTTGCTTAGTACAAACCAGGAAAAATGCCAGGTAGTCTTCAAGATTCTAGTTTAATTTGTCAATACCAAAGCTGGTGTACTTTCCATTACCATTACAATCATCTGCCAAGATTAATGATTGAATAGCTGCTAGGTCTAGTCCTTAACTTCTTTTTTTCTCTACAGCCTCTTGCTTTAGCCTTTCTAGCTTGATGCATTCATTACAGAGAGTATCCCAATGGGGCTTAAAGAATTTTCTAGCAAGGAGTTCATCCAGGCAACCTATGCCAACAGAGAGATACTAGGCTAGACAACTTTTGTCTTCCCATGGCTAGCTTTTTGCTATTCTATAGTCAGCTTGTACCCTTGTTATCTAATCTTCTGTACTATTTACAAAATAGCTCTTTCTTGTAACAAGCTTTACTATAAAGCCTGCTACAGTAGAGAAGAATTTAGAAAACAGCTGGTTTAACTTACTATTAATATTAGTTTTACCTTTTTACTTTCTTTTTACTTTCACTAGGCCCACAGTTACAGTGCTTGATTCATTACTTCCCCCTTCACTAAAATTGCTTTGTACAATTTCTCCAGGATTTTTGCCCTTACTCTGCTAGCTCTAGACTTTTCTAGACTTCAGCTAGAGAGTTTTCCAGAACCCCTGTTCTAGGCTTTACTTGCCTCTATCAAAACCAGACTTTGTGCTCATTTTGAATTGTAAAGGGATTTTTGTAGCAAATTTGCTAAAAATAATATTGTAGATTGTAAGCAAATGAGATCAAAAAAGTAGATGCTTTGCTGCCTTTAAATAGCTGGAAAATTTACTAAATTTCTTTGTTAGCTTACTTTACTAGATTAGATAAGGTAATTTTCACTTAACAAAAAAATGATCTTGCTCTAATCATCAAAGAAATCATATACAAAATGAAGCTAAGCTATTTGCAAGGTAAAAGATTAGTCTGTAAGATAAAAAAGCATAAGTAAGGGTATGAAAAGATCATGGTAAGAAAAAGGTAAAGGTAAGAGAAATCTAAAGTGATTCAGAGGTAATTCAACAAAGATTTACCTTAGTAGGTCAAAATTACATGCTTTGAATTAATTCTTTCAAAGAATTAGACTCACCTATGATACTAAGCACTAAATAAACAATAAAACAGATGTTATTTGAAGCAAAAGCTACTTAAAAGCACATTCTCAGCTCCAGAGTAAAAACAAGATGAATGTAATGATGAGTAGTGATGAGAAAGGTAGTGTTGAAGATTTTCAGATGAGAAAAGGCTATAAGCAAGGAAATTCACTAAATCTCTGTTAGGTAGCAGGATTGAAATGAAAGTACAAAGCCAGCTATAGAGCATTATATATATATACATAGAGCATGTTGATATTTTAGGCATGCCATGGCCATTGCTGTGCCTGAGCCACAGCTGCCTGTAGAACTTGTTAGAGAGTAGCAATATTGAGCCATTGAAAGACACATTTCCTAGGCTAAAGTGTAAGTATTCTACTTTTAAAATTAAATTAATTACTTACAAGTAGAGGAAACTTGTAAAGATGTACTTTGTAGATGCTAGAGTTGATGGTGTTGAAGAAAATTACAGGGATAGCAAATTACAAGGGTTACTTCTTCAGGACCCCTTGAACACTAACAGCCCATGCTACATATCCTGCCAGTCATGTGACCTGTGACCATGTTGTACCCTGGACTCTTATCCCAGGTTTTGAACTCCAGGCCCTACATTAAACCATTTATAACCTTCTTCAACAGAGAAAACTAATAATTTTTTTTACCAACTTTAAGATTGTTATTTTGTTGTATTGGATGGATTTAACTTCAACTGCACCAGGTCTGAAATAGACCATGGTAAACAATATCTTAGTAACTATCAGAAAGGTTCACTCATCAAGCTTGAGAGATGAACTTATGTTATCTAGGTTAGACAAAGTACATTAAACAAGTAAAGAAACAAACTTGGCCAAAATTGTCTTTAACAAGAATGAAGAAGATGATGAGCCAAATTCTCCTATGCTAGCTAGAGTAAGCATCTCATACTTCTCAGGTGACTGTTCTAATACCTCACAGTATAGAAATAGACATTTGGGAGTAAAATCTCAACCACACCCAGTAGTTTAATCACAATCTACATCCTAACATTAGTTACAATTATCAAGGTACCCCTTGTATAAAGCTTCACTACCATCAAAGGGCAAAGCAAAGCCTCATACAGGGGGCTGCCCAAGTTCTAGCAACCCTCTGCCAGCAACAACTTGACATCAGCCTTCACAATTTCTCAGCTAGCAAACAGCTTTAAAGCCAGCTCCAAAGCCAGCTTCAAGAAACTCCATTACATGACCTACTATTATTTCACACAGCCAAAAAGATGGTGAAACTGATTTCAAAACTGACCATGAATTTATTGACATCAATAAAGTCATAGTTCCTAGTATACAAAAGATAATTCTACCTAGTCATCAAGCAATTACATTAAAAAAGTTTACTAGGTATACATTCCTAATAGCTAGTATATATAACTTTAACAAATGTATATATAGAGAGAGCCTTCTGACAACTCACCAGCCAAATTCTGTAATGAACAATGATTCAAGCAGCATCTATGTTATGTCAAATACAGAATTAGTACTTTTCACCAACCTCAAGAACATGGCAAGACAGATATTTTTAGTAATACTTTCAAGTACAGATTGTATCTCCCCAGTGGAGGCAGTCTTTCCCAGTATGAAGTTGAGTCATGAGACTTTCAAACATGCTATGTCTCATGTAAAATCTCAATTTAAGACCTGGAAGCACCAGACCCTCTCTTACTATAATGCATTCACAAATTAGTAGGTTAACATAAAATCTACTAAGTTGAAGTTATCTAAAAACTTTAAGTTCATTCACAACACTTTAAATAATGATTTTCAACTACACTGGTTCAAGAATATGTTTCAGTAGGCTAAAAAAGGGGTGGCTTTTGATAAAATTATACTACTGGGCCTGGAATTTTTCAAATGCAGGTTGCCATCCAAACTTTTAGACCTTTTATCACTACTAACTTGTAGTATCTAGTTGCTTTTGTCATCTTCATTACACATTGCCACTTGATGTTACTATGTCAGTAGCAAGATACTACTAGGTAATACATTAACCTTTTAGATCCTCAACTGGCCAAGTATAATTACATACATTTTCTTGCTATTTTTGATGCTCTTGGGCATAAGAAAGAGTTCTATAACATAGTTATTACAAGTAATTTCCTACTTCAAAAGTAACTCATCAAATCAAATAGAAAATAGCAATCAATTGATCTGGACAAGGATTTAGATACTGCCTTGTTTCTTGCTGTCTCTAGGAAGACAGTGAAAAGAAAATGCATATTGGTAGACAGTAAAAATAAAACAGATCATGAAGATAAAATAGAAGAAGATAACAATGAACTTTTGATGCTACCAATGCCAGATAATTATGAACCTAAATCTCTTAATGCAGTGCTTTAAACTATATATTTTTTCATTGCTTTTCATAGCATAAATTGCTTTCATGATACTCTTGCATGCTGCTTCTTTTTGATACTATAGATACACTAGCTATCTAGCTTTGAAATATAATTTTGATATCAAAAATTTACATTCATTGTTATATATCTTTAAATTCTTATTTTTTAAATTTGAACTTTATTTTTTTTGAAATTTTACATAAACTAAAAACTAAAAATAATTCAAAAACTAGAATTTATAAAAATAATATAATAAAAACTATTATTTATAATTATATAAATTAATAAAATTCAAAATAGTTAAAAACTAAAAAGTATAATTTTTAATTTATAATATTTTTTTAAATTAATTTAATTAATTATTTATAAATACTAAATTTTGAAACTAAAATTTAAAAATAAAATATAATAGTTTTTTTATTTATATAATTAATACTTATATATAAATAATTAGTATATATAAAGTTTAAAATTTAAAATAGTTAAAAATTTTAATAAATTTATAATAGTTTAAATAATAACTATATAAGCACTTAAGTACTATAAAGAAAAAAATTTAAATAGTAGTTAAATAAAATCAACAATTACTTTAAACCTTGATTACACTAACTATTTCCAAAAACTTTCAACAATAAACAACTCAAAATATTCAAAACATCAATCAGCTACTACAAGTTATTCAAGAAAAAAAAAGTTTTTATACTATAGAGCTAGATATTCTATTGACAAGAAGCCAGGATCAAGTTTCAAAAGTAAAATTCTAACAATTTAAAACTGAAATTATTATAAAGCTTGATCAAATACTTTAAATAACTACTGGACAACAAGTAATTAAATAAACTACAGTACTAACTACTTTTCAATTCCAGTTTATCAATCAAAAACCAAAACCATCTATAACATATACTTTTATAGCTAAAAAATTCAATACAAAAAAAAATCTATAGACTACAGTTTCAAAAGCTAAGTCTAAAAC